AACTCTAAAACGTGTTCAGTCGGATGTAAAGAGAGCACCATAGAGAAGCAGAGTCTCCCAGTGAGTTCAGATGGGCAGAGGTTCGGCCATTTTGAAAAGTCTCGAAGATAGTGAATGTTCCGTTGTCCATAGCACATAACATCATCGGGAAACTCAGAATCTGAATACAGCCAGATGAGAAAAAAATTAGTTTAAGAAAATAGAGAACATCTAGTTTGTTATCAGGGAGTGAGTCTGATATGAGTCAGACTTTGATCAGAACGCAAAGAGCTCACTTGAGTTAAAAACTCAAAGGCAGTGCCATTTTTAATATGAGAATTTGTTGAAGGTTGATTAAACTTAGCTTATTTATTAGCAGTTGTGTCATTATTGTTGAGATTGGTGGATGAAATCATGCGACAACTTCTCGCCATAGTTCAAACACTCGAACAAAAACGAAAATTATGAGTAATGTTGAAACGCAGCTGCGTGCTATATTGGAAATAAGGGTTAAGTTTTGATGTCTTTAAATTTAGATTGCTTAACGAATTTGATGGAAACATGGCTGAAAATGAGAATTTTTTGCTATCTGTAAAAATTGCCTGTTAATGTTTTCTTTACGCATTGAGTTAAGAACGTTCCTGTTTTGTTATTTTAAAACCAACAACTTTCACGGAAATGCCCCTTTCTCTGAATATGGAAAGTGCGGTGCAGATCACAAGCCCTGCGGCTCGTTCGTGGAACTGTAAAAAAAAAAAAATCCAGCTTTTATGGAGATCCGAGAGAAAGTCATTACATAACCCTCCCAACCAGACGTTACACAATTCCCCGAGGATAAACTTTGTCACGTCAGTCTTGTGACAACTCAGCAGGTTAGACAGATGCTGACCCCACTGGATGTTGTTTTTTTTTTATTATTTAACTACATTGTGTCTTCTTACCAGTATCAGTATTTTATCCCCCCCCCCCCCATATCTATTTATTACTTTAAAAAGCCATTTTTCCTTCTTTTTCATGGCTTTTTCTCTCGAGCTGATGATCTAATATGTAAATTATGCTGGTGTGTAAAAAAAAACAAAAAACATTCTTTTTAAAAAGAAATAGTTTCTGGCCTCTGTGTCTGTTTTAAGTCACTTAAATGTTCTGTATTTGGTGATTTTGATCTATTTTTTGCTTTTGTTGTATTTTTTAAAAAAAATCTAAGTTGTCGACGGAGTCGGTGCGTCTCCGGCTGCTTTTAGTATTTCCTCTCCTTTGTTTCCTTTTTGGCGGGAGACGGTGAAAAGTGGAAGCCATGAAGGCCTGCAATAAAAAAAATAAAAATAAAAAAAAGCAGAGCATCAGAAGTGTTATGGCAACCGTTCATCAGAGGGGACCAGTGGGCTCCCAGTCTGGAGATCCGTCTCCCACCCAGTGGCCCGACCGAGACGCGGCGAGCAGGTGGTTGCCATAACAACTGCCTCCGCAGCCCGGCGCGCAGCCACTCTAATAATTCACTTAAAGATGAAACGGGGAGCGCTTGTCTGGCCGAGCGAGCGGCTGCTGATGCAACATCCTCAAAGCCATATGTACACGCTTCCCCATGAGTGTCAGCAGCCCCCCCCCCCCCCTCCGCCCCCTCTCTGTGCTGTGTGACATCCCAGTGTAGAAAAAAAAACAAAAAAAACACTGTGTGAGAGAGCTGTGGGGTTTGTACTTGACTTAGTCCTGGGTGGAAACATTGTGGATTTTTTTTGGATGAATGAATGGGGAGAAACCTGTTGTACTTTTTTTCTTTTTTTTTTTTTTTTTGGTTGTTGCCGTTTTGATAATAAAAGCTCCTGAGAAAGAGCCGCGTCTGGGCTGTGAGTCAAACTTTGTGAAATACCTCACTCCGAACCAGGACTGACCCCCCAGAGTGCCGTGCTCCTGTTTTTTCTCACCAGTTTCTTTCCAAACTGGACGTTCCCTCAGTGTCCCTGGTGTTTCCAGCAAGTCATCTAGGCCAGTTCCAATCCTGTTTAAAAAAAAATAAATAAAGATTTTGCACTATTCCCAATATGAAAACAGTAAAGGTGATCAAACACAGCCATAACACTGCAGTAGTCTCATTAATACACAAATAAGGCCTCAGATACTTTGTCTAACTATATATCTAACTCAGCCCCAAAGCACCGTTATAAGAAGATGATCCTCTATATCACCGGTAACGTGTGATATTACTTTATTCTCGTGGCTTTTAATTGAAAAAGCTGAGGAAAAAAAAGGTGAGATATGGTGTTGTCAAGGGCTGCTCGGGTTCACCCTCCCGTGCTAAAATCCATCCACACAAATCACCGTTGGAGCCGCCAGGATGGAAAAAAATCGAGTCTCACTGCGAACGTTATGGCCGCAAGGAACCGTGGGTCAGAATTACTTCTCTTCTTTTTTTCCATAGCTGGTGATCTATTGTTCCGTGTGTTAAAATAGATATCGGGACGGAGGCGCTGGAGCTGGGTCTATTAGCATTTGGAAGATTTTAGAAGCTGTCGTCGCGTCTGTGTGATTTCTCCCATCGAGGTTCCTCTGACAGACGAGAAGTACGAGCTGATTGAAAGAAGACACAAGCCACCACAAACATCGTCACAAACACGGCGAATACCTGGATCCACTCACCGGCCTTCAGCGATCGTCTGTGGCAACCCACAACCACGGTGGGTTCGTCTGTAGGGGCCTTTCAGGTTTCCACAGCTTTCCTCCCTTCATGATCCACTGTTCCCCTATTTCTTGTGACTCTGCATTCACCATTTGTTGCAGAAACATTGAAAGATGGACGATAAGCGATCATAGTTGTCTGGAATGAATCGATTTAGATTCAGGTTTGAAGAGATTTCACTTTACGCCTGCACAAACACCAACGATGATAAAAAAAAAACAGGCAGAACGTCGATAATTCAAATTAGAATGTAGCAATACATTCTTTCCATCTTTAATCTAAGTACATATTTCAGAAGCTGATGGACACCAGGTGACTACTGCGCAGCCGATGTCGATTAAACATTTTTTGTATCGAGCTCGAGACCAAAGGCTGAAAAAAGCACTGAAAAAAGCTTAGAAAAAGAGCTTAGGTAGAACCAGTGAAGAGCCACCCAGCTTTCTCCAGAGTTCTTCATTTGCTGTGTTCAGCTTGGCTGCAAAGACCTGAACAAAATCTAATTCAAACATTGTTGTGTGTTAAAAATGTTCTGTAACAGGTTTGAAATTGTCGTCTCTCGAACTTGTGCTTGGAAACTCTACCGATTCGGTCCCCGAAAAAACCGCACGCTGTTCCAAAGGTCTGGTCTCCTTTCCGATAGCTCACACAGCCGCATGGCACACATCCTCCAAGCGTCCACACTTTATCCCTCTGTTGCATGACAAAGCTGCATCAAAAACGCTTTTTTAATACGAAGCGGCTCCTCTCATTTGGGCCGAAAAGCCCCGACAGATGAGATTAAAGCTCGGGCGTCACGCTGAGAGGGAACAGAAAAGTAACAGTCCGACTTGCTGAGAGGCCGCACGGAAAAAAAAAGAACACTCGGCTCTGCCTCTGTCCTCCCTGACCTTTTTAAATCCCCCGTCCACACCGGCGGAGGCTCGGCGCCCGGCGAGCCGTAATTACATCCGAGCAATTACAGAACCAATATGAAGGCCTCCTCCACTGAGGGCGGTTAGGAAACACAGCAGCAGAAACTTCAGAATCAGACACTCAAGACTTGCTCGGGAAAACCAGTTGGTCTCCAGGGGTTCTGAAGGAAACCCACAATAGGGCGAGTAGCCATTGCTGTGTCCAAGCGCGACCCTACCTAACCCCAACCCTAAGACGATTAGTCTCAAGTGCGTGGCGACGGGATTCGGTTGGGTGGCCGGTATGATGCTTGTGCATTCAGTTTGTGCCATGACTCATTCACTCAAAAGGATTATGGTTTTGGGGTTCTTTGTGGCACAAAACCATACCACCATCTAGTGGTGGACGACTCACAAGTCATCCAGAGAGGGACGCAGAATCTCACGTAGGCCTATCTTCACAGCCATCTTTCCAACTGCTACAAGGGTCAGATTCTCTCCTGCAGGTTATTTAGACTCCAATTAAGATAACATGCATGTCTTTGGACTTTGGAAGGGTTCAGACCAGGAACTTTGACGCCCGGCTTCTTTTTCTAATTATAAAAGAATGAATTGTTGCTCGATTGTATTCGTCCTCTATTTATTTTGTTTGTTGGCCTTCAGAAGGAGAGAGAGAGTTTATTTGGCCGTAAATTAGCCGTAACTTGGCTTTGAGTCCACAGTCATGCTGATCTTTGGGCTCGCTCATGAGATTCACATGACAACAGAAGACCATAATAAGGGCCTTCTCGATTAGTTTGTATGTCCAGAGGCAGTGGGTGTCTACTTTAATGTAGCGGTAGCCACTAAGAATCCAGGGCTGCTCTACGGTAGCGCTTCCAGATGAGATGAGTTATATAAATGCTTTTTGGTTTTCAAGTACCACTTATAAACTGTTTTATGAAAAAGGGTAGTCTGTGTGGGTGAAATGGTTGAATAGAAATGTGCGTTTGTAACTTACTGTTGGCCGTAAGAAAAAAAAAAGAAAGAAAAAAGAAGAAGAAAAAAGAAAGAAATCCAACGTAATGAGCATGGGTGGGCAGCTCCGGGCCTCAAAGGCCAGCGTCCTGCTGCGTCCCTGAATCAAGTCAACAAAACCCCAGCGGTCAAGCGCACCCCTTAACAAGCTGTTAAAGCAGAAAAACATCAAAAACCTGCAGGGCAGCGACCCTTCAGGCCCAGATGTGACCCCCCCCCCCCTTTCCCCGGCAAAAGACAGAAGACCGTCAGACAAATGATTCTGAAAAATAGAATTAAAAAAATAACACGCAGTGCTTGAGATGAAAACAGCTTTATTAAAAAATAAGACCGAGACACATTCTCTCATTTCAGACTAATTTTTTCACGCACCACGGGACCGAGCTCGGGCAAACTGAGGTGTTTATCGGTGGTCTACACGCGTTAGGACCAGACAGGTTTTAATATTCCTCCCCTTCCTCATCCTCTTCGAAGGAGTCGAGGCCGACCTCTTCGTAATCCTTCTCCAGAGCGGCCATGTCCTCCCTGGCCTCCGAGAACTCGCCCTCCTCCATGCCCTCGCCCACGTACCAGTGGACGAAGGCCCGTTTGGCGTACATCAGGTCGAACTTGTGGTCCAGGCGGGCCCAGGCCTCGGCGATGGCGGTGGTGTTGCTCAGCATGCACACCGCCCTCTGGACCTTGGCCAGGTCTCCACCGGGAACTACGGTGGGGGGCTGGTAGTTGATGCCCACCTTGAAGCCGGTGGGGCACCAGTCCACGAACTGGATGGAGCGCTTGGTTTTGATGTTGCCGATGGCCACGTTGACGTCCTTGGGCACCACGTCGCCTCGGTACAGGAGGCAGCAGGCCATGTACTTGCCGTGGCGGGGGTCGCACTTCACCATCTGGTTGGCCGGCTCGAAGCAGGCGTTGGTTATTTCCGCCACGGTGAGCTGCTCGTGGTAGGCCTTCTCGGCCGATATGACGGGGGCGTAGGTGGCCAGGGGGAAGTGGATGCGAGGGTAAGGCACCAGATTGGTCTGGAACTCCGTCAGATCGACGTTCAACGCCCCATCGAAGCGCAACGAGGCCGTGATGGAGGAGACGATCTGACTGATGAGGCGGTTCAGATTGGTGTAAGACGGACGCTCAATGTCCAGGTTCCTGCGACAGATGTCGTAGATGGCCTCATTGTCCACCATGAAGGCGCAGTCGGAGTGCTCCAGGGTGGTGTGGGTGGTCAGGATGGAGTTGTAGGGCTCCACTACAGCTGTGGACACCTGAGGAGCTGGGTATATGGCAAACTCCAGCTTGGACTTCTTACCAAAGTCTACTGAAAGGCGCTCCATGAGCAGAGAGGTGAAGCCAGAGCCGGTTCCTCCTCCGAAGGAATGGAAGACCAGGAAACCCTGAAGCCCCGTGCACTGGTCAGACTGGACGAGAAACGTACAATTTAGACTTCAAGACCTGTGGCAAAGCACCCAAAAACATTTTCTAATAGTAAGGCGTTCCGGATATATTCCGAGCAGCCCATACTTTAGATGAACAGATTTCTCTCTATGAAACTTCGTTCCCTGTAATTGGGGTCATTTTGAAGCTCCTCTTACCAGTTTGCGGATCCTGTCCAGGACGGAGTCGATGTGCTCCTTGCCGACGGTGTAGTGGCCTCTGGCATAGTTGTTGGCTGCATCCTCTTTGCCGGAGATCAGTTGCTCAGGGTGGAAAAGCTGGCGGTAGGTTCCAGTTCGGACCTCATCTTAAAGACAGACATGGATCCAGTGTTAAAAGTTACAGTTTAGGCAAACTTGTTTGCTGTATGGGGAGCATGGAACATGTTAAGGCTGCAGCCTGTAGAGGCCACTCATGTCCAACAGATATTACTATCTGTGGCCTTAGTCCATTCGTGTCATGTGAGGCCCTGACAGAGAGTTTTAGGATTTTGCCTAACCCTAACCAGAGGTTGCTTGAAAATAAGTTTCCATCAGTCAGTCTGAGCTCCAGAGCTGTGACTGCATTAGATTAGTTCAACTTGACACTTTCATGACTGTATGGACTTTATTTCTAACTTGACTTTGGAATCAGCTGAAATTTGACTACAATTCAAATTGACACCAATCTCATTTGTCTGTTGTTTGGAAAACCAAAGCCAGTATGCTAATCCACTGCTCATAGAGGTTTGCGGTTTTATTTAAATTATTAAAACTATTTTAAAAAGCTTTGAAATGTTTGAGTTTTAGAATAAATCCTCAATTTTGCCCGGACTGGACTGAAATGGGAACACGGTCAAAAGGGAATGACATAGCCTGTTGGGAACTTTGTGCAAAGCGGCGCCTACTTTAACATAAAGTCTAGCTTTTGTTTTCACACAAACACAACCTGTTGTCACTTTAAAAACACAACTTCAGTCAAACCAGCTTTCCAAGTGAAGCGACAAAGTCCTTCAGGGCCCCCTAAACACACCATGGCATCAGTTTTCCACGATATTGTCAATTCAAGTTACGGTGGTGTTCTGTTTTTTCAAAGTTCCCCAAAAGCTTAAGGAAGTTCCTCACCAATGACAGTGGGCTCCAGGTCCACAAAGATGGCTCGGGGGACGTACTTCCCTGTGCCAGTTTCACTAAAGAAGGTGGTGAAGGAGTCATCATAGCCCCCGGAGGGTTTGTTGGTGGGCATGGTGCCATCGGGCTGGATGCCGTGCTCCAGGCAGTACAGCTCCCAGCACGTGTTGCCCATCTGGACACCGGCCTGGCCAACATGGATGGAGATACACTCACGCTGTGGAAGGAGAAAAAAAAGGGAGGGAATTCAGTACTTCTGCTTATTTTTTTAAATAAACCGTCGCTCAATTCTGGCTGAAAACCGTCAAGTCGTTTCCCCGCTTGGTTTGGATTTTGACATTAGGAATTCGGGCGGCACTTGTCAAAACTTGCTTCGCTTTGCAGCCGAGAAAAAAAAAAACCCGCGAGAAAAACGCAAACTGGTTTCCTTTGTGCTTCCAGATTCCAGTCTCCAGTCAGCCTTGTCAGAGGGATGCAGCCCGTCGAATCAGGTGTCACCCGTCTGAGTCAGCAAGCGGTCGATTATCACACAGAACCATCAGAGCCTCGGCGGGGGCCAAAGGGCTCCCACACCCTGCTCAAGCATTCCTGGTTGTAAAGATCTGACGCATGCGTGCCGGAGGACAGATAACCAGTTTGTTCTCAGGATTTGGAGGGAAAGTTTGACCCGAGTGTTTATTTTGGGTTCAGCGATGGGTTCGTTCAAAAGCAGAGGCCTTTTTTTTCCCCTTCTACTTTTTAATAAACAAAATCTCTGGACCTGCCGTCAGTAGACGGAACAGCTCTGATGATTATCTGATCTGTGCTCCAGCTGACCGTCCGGGGGTGGGGGGGGGCAGGTCATGTGCTGCCACCCGAAACACCTGCCGCACAAAAGAAAACCCGGTTCTATTTTTAAGCTTAATGCTCGGGAGGTGACTCGGTGTGGGGAAAAACAGACGGCGGCCTCCTCTGGACGGGACGCGGGCCAACGGAACATTGTAGTTGTGACATTCTTCAGATGTCAGCCGCTCTTTCATTCCGCCACGTCATGCTCTCTCTCTCTTTCTCCCTCTCTCTCTCTCTCTCTCTCACTGAACATTCCTAAAAACACAAACTTGGCTTCAGTCTTTCTATCCCCCCCCAACCCCTCTCTTGTTTTCTTTTTTTTTGTTGTTTGGAAAAGGCTCAGGATAAGAACGCAGGAGGTGTCTCGGTGACAGGGGAGCTGCCAAATATGGCGATCACAGCCGGCTATTTTAGTCAGGTGTCACCCACTCGACGCAGAGCTTCATTTTTTTTCCCTTCCTCCAACTTGTTTTTGGACTACGAGGTTGCCGCTTAAGACTTTAAGAAAAAAAATATATACATATATATCCTGTAGTGTGGAGAAAGTGAGAATAAAGGATATAACACAGCCTGCATCCAGAATTAAACACATCCAGCAGGAGTTTATGTTCTGGGGGCAGACAGTTTCCATACGGGGGGGGGGGGTTGGGGGGGGATGTTCCAAACGTGGGTGTGGTAGGCAGTTTGGTTGTTGCAACATGCCACAAACCAACTCAGCCTGTGAAATTTACGCTTCCAGGCGGCCAGGCATGCCGGAGGGGGGTGGGGGCTGGGGGGGGAGCGGGCATCCGAGGGGGGGAGGGGAGAGGGGGCCGGGAG